AAAAAAGGCAACACAGTTCTAGGCTGCATAAACAGAGAGATAGAATGAAGATCATGTGAAGTGTTAATGCCACTTTATAATGTCTTAGTAAGGTCAAAATCAATGGAACTCCTTCCCTAAAAGGGTACTTGGAATTACAATCTAAGTGGGAACAGGATAGTATTGATTTTGCTCTTTAAAAATTATTAATATAAGCAGTGCCCAACTCAATAGCTCATTTCCAAACCTGATGATCTATAATACATTCCAAAAAGGTGGACCAAAAGTCATGCTAACTCAGAATGGATATATATTACAGTCCAACATATCATCTCACTAGGAAAAGGGTACATTACTCATTTTCTAGGAATGGAGAAGAAATCTCATTTTTTACAGTTTTTGAACTGTAAAAATATTCAGAGCTGATAGGAAACAACAATGACAATGAACAAGGACATATGTTCAAATTTCCAGCTACTAAGATTGTTGGCAGGTACAAAAATAGCCAGGGAAAAATAGCCAGGGATTGATGCCTGGGAAATGAGCCCCTTGTCAGTCAACACAAGTGCTGATTTACCACCAGCTTATCAGGTACTTGGGGGTTGAGGACTTGACACCACAAGGAAACAACTAGCCAGTGACCTAATAACTGACCCTCAACACCCCAATCAAGAACTAAAAAGCCACACACAACCAGGCACAAATAAATATAGCCCAAAGCACGTATTCTGATGGAAGAGAAGTTCCTGAGGATGGGCTCCAGAATGAACCCGAAAGCTCAGAATACTAAATCTCTGGTCCCGGTGACTGACCCAGATTGAATGCTGCAGGTCATATTAAGCCAAAGAAATATTTATTTATTTATTTATTGCATTTTGAGCCACTCACCTCCCTTTATTTCATTTAAATGAAAAGTATAAGTTCTCAAAAAAAGAAATAGCTAAAACTAATTTATCACAAAACAATTTATCATATAGATCAGGTGTGTCAAACTGGTGGCCCGTGGGCCAGATGTATCACATGCAGGCCACGTCCACCCCAGCTCCGGGAAAAGCATATGTCACATGACGGCTTGACATGGCGAGTTTAACACACGTGATATTCAGATGAATTTAACAACTGGTTGCTTAGCAACTGTTTAAATTACAAGAGACATCCCCAAGGCTACTTCTGATCTGGATTCAAAATTGTGACAGTCCCTGCGGTTTCACATGACCAAGATTTACAACTTTTTCTTTTTGCTGAAAACCGATGTTCCAGTTTCTGGCAAACGCCCCCCCCCCCCCGCCGCTCATAGCAGACAATGGTTTGCTTAGTTACCAACACATTCACTTAACTGCGGTGATTCACTGTGGGAAAAAAGTCGTAAAATCAGGTAACAACCAGCACAACTTAGGACCACAGTTCTGGGCTCAATTACATTCGTAAATCGCAGACTACCTGTATGTCTTCATTCCTTTTTTGTTTTTATAGACATTGTTCCTTTCATTGCATCCACATACTGCTTTATATATTGCCCTTTGTTCTTTAAATTTTTCATCCCTCTTCATGAAGACCTCATCAACTCCATCCATCCATGACTTTTTACATCATCCGATACCTCTCAAAGCACTTGCTGTTCCTTTATGTATGTTTTACAATTTGTTCCTTATTCATTCTCTCTGTATGACCCAATCTCCTATACCACATTCATTCAAAATGCTACACAATTTTTCCTCCTATCTCATCTTCAGTTATCCATTGTCACCATTCACTGGAGTGTAACATTCAATCTTTATCATCTATGGATTCTGGCTTACATATGCACCCATGATAACTTATTGATACTTCATGGCATATCTTTTCATTCTTTTATTCATAATTAAATCTACACATTCACTTCCCTACAGATATTCTCACACAAGATGATACCATTCAACTCAGTTACACTCTTTCCTTTTTTTCTTAGTTTCCAAGATATAAAACATATCTTTTTTTTTCTTTAATGCATTAATTCCTTGCCCTTTTAGGTTATTTCTTTCACATTGCATAATACAGCCTCCTATAAGGCATGGATGCCACCAGATTGGCCCAGAGATACTTTGTTGTCCATTATCTCTCTGATTAATCAAGACTTGCATGTGATGTTTTCAAATAAGAGAAAGAAGATATCGACCAGGTTTTCAGATGTAATCATTTTCATGCCAGACTGCAGCATTCCTGATAAAAGCAAGGACAATACTGGTCTATTTTGGCACATTTTGGCCTGCATCGTGCAAGAATAATGAAAGTTCAGTTTTACTTTACAGATGCTCCTACTAATCTATACAAGCTAGAATCAAGAGACTATGTTATAAGCCAATATAATTTTGCCTACATCCTATCAGCTAGGAGGCATATGCTGTGTATACACACAGTGCAAGTCTAGGATTATAAGTGAATGCAATAGATACTGTGTTGCTAAGTGTAGGATTATAAAATACTGATAGCAGAGAATATTTGTAGCTCTTAGTTGAACGGTGGGGTTTTTTGGGGCTTGGTTGTTGTTTTTAGCTTGGTTGTTTTCTTGTCAATGTTTCATTACCAAAATAGGTAATATCATCAGCAACACTGATGTTTATTTCAGTGCATAATAACTGTTAATATATCTGTGTGTTTAAATGCCTCAATACTAGCTTTCCATAACTTTATTTCCAGGCATTAGATGGCTTCTTATTTGTAGTAAATAGGGACGGAAACATTGTATTTGTATCTGAAAACGTCACTCAGTATTTGCAATATAAACAAGAGGACCTGGTTAATACAAGTGTTTACAGTATCTTACATGAGGAAGATCGGAAAGATTTTCTTAAAAATTTACCCAAATCTGCAGGTAAGAAAGCTTTTCATAATTACTTGGTATGTGAAATGTGCAAAATTGACCTTTTCTAAAAAAAAAATGTTTAATTTAAACTACAGTATTAACTTTAAAGTATTTCTTTAAATTTTAATTCACACTGTACCTTAATATGAAGAGTTTTCAGCAAAATTCGGTATTTAACCAAATTATACTTGGATCTTTGTAACTTGAAAAATATGGTTTATGTAATTTAAATTGTTATCACACACACGCACACACACACACACACACACACACTTTCTGTGGTGGGTTGCCAATTTTTTAACTTCTGGTTCAGGTGCGTGCGTGCAATACTTTGCGCATGCGCAGAAATGTCCAGGCAGGTGGGTGGAGTTTCCTGCCGCTGCTACTACCGGTTCGCCTGGTCTGGGCCAAACCGGGAGCAACCCACCTCTGATTTCCTCAGCTGATCTCAGAAGATTGCTGTGAGATTAGGGGATTCCTTCATGTAAAATGCCTTGAGCTTTTATGGAAAAACAAAGAATATATGTAGTAAGTAAACACATGCTATTCTCTGTTAATGCAGATTGAAATATTGCTGTTCAGTTTATTTAAAATATACCATTATATGGAATCTGTTAAAATACTGACTTTCATTTTTACCAAACTTTGCTGAACATAATATCAATCAAATTTTTTTTTTGTAATAGAAGTCTATTACCCCATTTTAATGTTTTAAGGAAATTTGGTTAAATCTTGATGTTAATCATAATAAAATATTAAGTGTGAAAAGATGCAAATTCAGTTGTGACCAATATTATTAGTTCTATTAGAGTTAGGTTTTCATACAGTATATCGCTCTAATTCCCAGAAATGATTCACTTGATTGTAAAGACACTTGGACTTAAATCTCTACCATAATGATCCCAGAAAAATCGTGGAGTATATCTCTTAATATGCTTGCAAATTAACATTGTGTATGATTGACAGTACTGATAACATTTAGGGAATCCAGAATAGAAATGGGAATAGTTGGAGTGAGACTACTGCTTGATTGTCTTTCCAGCTTTCATTGTTCAAGTGCAAGAAAATTAGTTTGGTCTAGTGCAGGGATGTCAAACTTGCGTTGTGTTGTCATCATACGACGTATCACAACTTTCTCATTTTCTCTAAAATGGAGCTGGGCATTGCAAGTGCATGACGCATCCGGCCTGCAGGCCGTAAGTTTGACACTCTTGGTTTAGTGGTTAAGGCACCAGGCTAGAAAGAAGGAGACTGTGAGTTCTAGTCCCACCTTAGCCATGAAAGCCAGCAGGGTGACCTTAGGCCAATCATTTTATGTCAACCCAGCTCACCACACAGGATATGTTCACAGCCTTGAGTTGTAAAAATAATAAAGATGGGATATAAATAAATAAATAAGTTCATGTTGCAAACACCAATGGTTGATATTAGAATCCTCTATCTTCTTCCACCTTTAATATATTTATAGCAGATTTGGGGTTTTGCTTGCCTGATACATGATATTCCATGCATTAAATTGGTTTTTCTTTTGTGAATAATTTTTTTGCAGTCCATAAATGTTACATACAATAGCATGCCCTAACCACAACCCTCCTTAGTTCTAACTAGCCAGTGTAGCTGGATAAATACAGAATTAAAGTCATCGTTCTTTTTCCAACAACTTAATGAAAAAGTCTATTACTGTTTTTTTTTAGTGAATGGAGTTTCTTGGACCAATGAAGCACCGAGACAGAAAAGTCACACATTTAATTGTCGTATGATGGTGAAACCATTAAATGAACTTCTAGAAGATATAGGAAGTAGTCAGGAATTGCATCAAAGATTTGAAACCATGCAGTGTTTTGCTTTATCACAACCGAGAGCCATGCTAGAAGAAGGGGAAGGTAATGACAAATCATCCATTTATTTAAATGTATTCCATTCATTTATACTGTGGTATATGTCACATATCTCTATATACATATATCTCATAGGGACGCAGTGGCTCGGTGGCTAAGACGCTGAGCTTGTCGATCAGAAAGGTTGGCGGTTCGAATCCCTAGCGCCGTGTAACGGAGTGAGCTCCCATTACTTGTCCCAGCTTTGCCAACCTAGCAGTTCAAAAGCATGTAAAAATGCAAGTAGAAAAATAGGGACCACCTTTGGTGGGAAGGTAACAGCGTTCCAGGCGCCTTTGGCGTTTAGTCATGCCAGCCACATGACCACGGAGACGTCTTCGGGCAGTGCTGGCTCTTCGGCTTTGAAACGTAGATGAGCACCCCCCCTAGAGTCGGGAATGACTAGCACATATGTGTGAGGGGAACCTTTACATTTACCTTTTGTAAGTTGACTGGGAAATGGAAGCTCTTTGATAGTGTGCTGAAAGCAGTCAGATTTTTAAATATGTCATAAAATATTTTGTATTTCAGATTTGCAGTCCTGTATGATATGTGTCGCGCGTCGTATCTCTACAATAGAGAGGGTATTTTCCCCAAACACAGAGAGCTTTGTTACTAGACATGATCTGTCAGGTGAGAATTCTACTTGAAAAACCTATCAAATACATTGTTTAATGCAAACTATAGGAATAAACATGGTTTGGAAGGAGGAGCCAATGTTGCGGCAACACAGATGTCTGGTCTCGACCCCCGGACCCCCCAGCCGATACTTTGGCTTCTGGGTGGTCCAATTGGACC